CCCGGTCCCCAGGGGACCCCGATTCGGGGGACGCCAGAGGGGTCTCCGCTGACTCGGCCACCCGCTCCATCCTAGGTGCAGACGCGCAGCGCCGATGAGCCCATGACGACATTCGTGCTGTGCAACGAATGTGGGAACCGCTGGAAGGTCTGTGCCCTTTTGAGAGGGGTGTCCGGGTGCCCCAACCCTTCCCCGGCCCCGGGGGGGTGGCAGAGCCCCCCAAAATGGTGCCGGGGGCTGGGTGAGGGCTCACCACCCACCCCTGGCTCTGCTTCTCCTGCAGTTCTGCTGGGCGCCCGGCCGCGGGGCTGGAGGGGATGCGGTGCGAGACGGGATGCTGCGATGGCCACCTCGGGCAGGCGGGGTGGGGAGGGAGGGTGACGGGGTGGCGCCGGTCCCCACCTCCCGGCTCCCTGTTTCCTTCTGTTGGGTTCCCTCGAACATCCCGGGGAGCCGTGCTCCGGCGACAGGAGGGTTTGCTTGGGAAGACCCCGGTGAATTGAAGCAGTTCCTCCCTGTAAATACCTTCCCTTTGCTTGGGGTGTGCTGGGAACCCACTGGGAACCCACTGGGAACGGACACGTCCCTGGAAAGGGAGACCGGTCTGACCTTGCCCTTCCCTGGAGGAAAGCTGGACTCGGATGATTTGGGGGCAGGATGGACGTTGCCCCATGGATGTGGGGCTGAGCCACTGTCCTGGGGGCCGGGGCTGAGAAAGGGTCAGGTTTTGCCCCCCAAATACGTTCTTCTTCACCTAAGCGCGTGCAGTGGAGGGGACATGGAGGGAGACGGGCTGGTTGCTGCGGTGTCTGGATGCCGAAGGGATGCCACCGTTGCCTTCTGCTCTGTGACATGTCTTGAGGGCACTGTGTCCCCAGGAAAGAAGAAGGGATGGGGCAGAGGTGTGTGTGTGTGGGAAAGGAGCAGGAAAAAAAACCTCTCCAGCTGGAGCAATAAAGGTGGGAACTGCCTCTGTGGCACAGACTGCTTTTTGAAGGGGGGGGTTGGGACCTGCGCCGCGGTTCGCACTACCCCCCGCCACCAGCTTGAGCCTCCTGGTCCTCCCAGAACCCCCCCACCAACCCCAGTCTTGACTCTGCCAGCCCCCAGCTCGGGATGTAACAGTGGCTTGATGCCCATCCATCACCTACCCGGTGATTAAAGACCTTTAATTAAGGCCGGAGCGGCTCCTCTTGGATGCCGACGGCTCTCCGGGTGGCAGGGCAGCACCTCCACCCACAGCCCGGGAGGGTTTTCCAGCAAAAAGGGCATCAGGGACCAGCTGGGAGATGCCCCTTTGGCTACAGGAGGAGTGGGATGGAGCCTCGTGGCACCGTGCCCGTCCCTCGCCACCACCAGCTTCTCCCAGCGGCTCTGTTTGGCGGCAGCGAGATGTGACGGGGACGCAGGTAAAGGTCACGGTGACCGGGGGTGACCGTGGCGGAGGGATGAAGGTGTTCGTCCTGAGCCTGCGCCAGCGGAGGAGGACGGCGGAGCTGTCGAATGAACCGATCGTTAATTTTTTAATCTTGGGCTGAGGTGTGCATTTTTTTTTTAATTATTTTTTTTTGCCCAGGCAGAGCTCGGGGCAGTTTGCACCCAGATTTGGGTGATAGCCCCCTCAGTCTTTGGGGGTCCCGGCAGCCCCGGGGAAGGGTCGGCCAGCCCTGAGAGTACGCTTCGGGCTGCGGTGCTCGTTAGCACGCCAAAGTCATTAATAAGCCGCCAAGGCAATTATTTACACTTGCAAAATGCGTGTGGCTGCAATTAAGGAGCAGAGTGGGTTGTGGGGGATGAATAAAACATCGGTGTGACCTTGTGCGGCGCGGGGAGCGCAGGACGGGCAGCACCACGCCGGCGGCACGCAGGACCCGGGGCTCACGTCCTGTCCCCAAGAGTGCAACAGAGCACATCGGGGTGGGACATGGCTGAAACGGGGGGATTTGGACCTATATTTTTTGCCCTCCAGGCAGTAAAGGTGTCTGAGCAATACCGGAGGGAGCCTGGCCCCCACTTCGTGATGGAGCTGCTGGCATGCCCATGTGCCCATCTGTCCCTCAGGGGACGTGTCCCCCAGGGAAATGTCACCCTGCGCTCCCCCCCGCCCCGATCTCCTGAGAAATCCCAGAGGAGGAAAGGGAGCAGGGAAGGAAACCGGAGAGCTGGGAGCTGCCGGAGGCTCCCCCGCCATCCATGGGAGGGGCTGTCCCCCCCCACCCCCCACCCTGAGGAGGGCTTTCGCACCCGCCTGGGGCTGGGGGAGCTCCTGGCCCTGAAGGATGCTCTGGTCTCTGGGGGGATGCAGGATCCGGCCCCCTGCAGCACGCTGGGTGGGTGGGTGTCACCAGGGCAGGGGACAGCGAGGGGCTCTCTGGCATCCAGCTGTTTCCAGGGGTTGAAACTGGTTCCAGGTGACTCTTGGGGACAGTCCCCAGGGCTGAGCCCCCACCCCGCTCCACGGGGAGGGCACAAACGCGTGTGCGCGTTACAAAAACTCAGTTCCCAAATTTCCAGTCCCCAAACTGGGGATGGCTGACGGCATTCAGGGTCTGGCTGAGCCCCCCCTTTAAGGACTTCCCGCCATCAGCCCCACAGGGGCCATGTCCTTGGGGGGCTTTCCCCTCTCTCCTCCGCAGGTGATGGTCCCCTCCTCCCCTCCGCATCCCCCAGCCAGGAATAAGCGCAGGCGAAGCGCGTTCTCGCCAGCGCTCAGCCCAGGAGCTCTCTCTTGAACTTCGGGAAAAGTGGGCACTTCAATTCTGATTTTTTCCGGCAGCGCTCGAGAGGTGTAGCCACGGCTTCAACCAGCAGATGCTGATGCTGGTGCCCTCCCCTGCCCTTCTTCTGCCCGCGCAGCCGCTGCGGCCGCGGAGGCTCAGACAAGAGCCCTCAGGAGCTCCCGGGGCTCTGTCGTAGCCCTGGGCTGAGTTGAGCTCTTGGGAGCGGGTGGTCGGGCTCCACCTGAGGCTCTTCGTGACTTTGCAATGATGGAGAGGACCGTTCGGTCCCCGCCAGGGGATGCTTCGCCCCCCCACGCCGTGCTCCATGTTCTAGATGCTCTGAAGCTTCAGCAGACGCTGGTGCCCCCTCCCGCCTGTCCCCGTGTGAGACGCTAAATCCTCCGTGTGATGGAGGTGTTATTTTCAATCTCCAACCTGCAACGCTTTAAACAGCCCCACGGCGTGTCCCTCCCCAGCCGTGTGTCATCCCCCCCCATGCCGCTGCGGTGATGGGGACAGCCACCACCGGTGCCACCAGCCCCCATCCCATCCCCGTGGTCCCCCCTGAGCCACATCCAGGGCACGTGTTTGCCCCACGGCTGCAGAATCCGGCACGCAGATGCCTGAGCATCCCTGTTTTGCTTTGCAATCCCGGCTTGCCCGGGGTCCGAACCCTCCACCGCCCCATCTCCCCGACTCGCCCACGTCGTGGGGCTTTGCTGCTGCCCTTCTCCCCCGCATTTTTTTCCAGCCTTGACAAAAAAAAAAAAAAAAAAAAAAAAAACATCCT